GATAAAGCAATGGCAAACCTAAATGAACATGTTTGGTATACTGTATGTTTTACCATGATATGATCGCAAATACAATTTGCTAGACGACCACATTGGCAATATTCTCCAATAAAGGAGTAAAAACAAAAAAATATTACACACTACTCATGCGCGTCCAAAGATGGGAGTGTTTTTTTTTTTCCCTCTTTTTTAATAAAATGGACTTGCATTCAGTGTCCAGTGAGTGCATGGACGATCGACTTTCATATCCATCAGCCCACAAGCTCTGAGATGAGGGCAATGTTTACTTTGGATTCTGACTCCATATTTGAGGGCAGAAAAAAAGGTTGGGAGGATTTTTTTAAAAATCTGTTTTATTCTGCAAAGCAAAGTTCAAAGCTCCGCATCATTTTTTTATGCACACAGCATTACTTTTATTTCTGCCTGTGCTACTTTGTGTCCTATTTCCTGTCTTGTGGCCAAATAAATGAAATTGTATCCCGCGGCGCTGCTCATGCTCTGACGACATTTTGTCATTTGCTGCTGGTTTCACTCGATGAGAGACTGTCTCTCATTAAGCCCGGTCAGTATTGTTCCTCCGGCGCAATTACACTCTTGCTGGAATAACATGTTGTAGTCAAATGTAACTGCTCTTGAGCAAGGATCAATTAGCATGTTAATTAGGGATTTTGTCGCTTCATTGTTTTTTAAAAGACAAAAAAAAAAAAAAATGACAATCATTGACCAATATATTACTGAGGCTCTCATTTCCTCAAGTGAGGAGCTCTTCATTGTGTGTCGCTCTCTTCCGTCTCATCAGCCGTGCATGTAGCATTACAGTGGCATGTTCAAAATCCCTTTGCGAAAATAATTGAAACAATTTAACGCCCTCCACCCTCCAGAGATAAATTACTTTATTAAACCCTGGAGTGAAATCAGACGTACATGACACTGGATAGAAATAAACACATACTGTATTTATCAGACCATGAGGCGCACTTTAAATATATGATGTCACGGCGCCATGTTCGCTCAGTTCAGCAGGCTGGCGGTCATCTCAGCATGGTGTTTCGGGCCAAATTTGTGGCGCATTATCACTGATAATCAAAAAATGAGTCCCACCTACCAAATTGCCTCATAATTCCTTGTCATATTTTAGCTCCACCCTCATCCCGTCTCCACCCACCCCCGCGCTACCTCGACCGCTGCTCTGAGGACCTTCAAGGCAGATTTAAAGTTGGTGAGGTAGAGGAAAGGGATCCCTGGGGGAAAGCGTCACACATACGCGCCCACATGCATGCACATAGTCCCAGAGAGCGCTAACAAGCGGCCTAACGGTGCCCTTTGAACACTCGCCGAGTGGCGGCTTCAAAAGGGCAGAGCTCTAATAGAATACCTCAGTTTCTCAAGAGTGTATAGAATTCAGGAAACCAGTTCCATGTGGCATTTTTTTTGTAGAGCTCAAATTCAAACACAGATAGCGTATCAGATGGTAGATGTTGCACAGAAAGACAGGTTTAAAAAGGCACAAATAGATGACGGAATAATAGAGTTGAAGCACTTGTGAGTCCTAAATGAATAACTGGGAATAAATGTGGGACGGGCAAAATTCTTTATCAACACCTTCCTTCCAACCTCACAAGTTGAGTTAAATCATTCAGTTGTGATCTTTAATCTAAATTTTTAATCAATGTCTTTTTGCCCATCTTCATGAGAGGAAGGGGTGCAATGCGGGATTAAATTTCCCTTTGATCACAAGTTGAAGCAGACGTTCTTGTGATCTTCAAAGTTGCTTAAAAGCTTCCCGCAGAGGGATTTTGAACTCTGAAAATGAAGTTTAAACAGCAGATTGCCGGAAAACTCAACTTCGGATGCCACCAATCTGCATGAAAATTAACATTTGGGTCTATCACTGTGTTTGGCTTTGGCATAACATAAATGTCGCCCAGGTCAACTTACTACAGTAATACAGCAAGAATTCCCACTTACGGACAGCCGGCGTCTTAATATAAAACCGATCTTCTCCACCGAGCTCATCTCCCTCCGTGGAGGTATGAAAAATTCAGCGAAAATTATTATCGGTGCACCCCTACATAAGAGAGATCCATCCGCTCATCCATGAAAAGTCTGTTTGAATATCGAAAATAGTCCAGAAATAGAAATAGCAACATTTCTGAGAACCAATAGACTAGTAGAAGTTGTTTCGAATAAATATTTTATACACACAAACTTGTGAAATGACCCAGCAGTAAACCGCAAGAATTCCACAAATATAACTAAACGTTTGTGTGGGAATTCTTAAAATAATGCAAATAGAAACCTAAAACAGCTATCCAGTGAGCAAGACTTCAGAAGCTCCCCGTTGTGCTAGCTTCCACACAGACACACTGCGAAACAAAATGGTCTGAAACTGAAAGAAGACAAGACATCAAAAAACACACTGTGACAGCGGAGACGGTGTGTGTGTGTGTGTGTGTGTGTGTGTGTGTGTGTGTGTGTGACTTCTTGTGAAAATATGGGTACACAAGGGACGATTATAAATGGAAACGCTTGAACACGGAAGGATTGGCTCGCTATTTTGTCTGCCTGAGCACTACGAGACAAGCTTGCTATAAGGCCAGGGTGGGGATTTGCTTCGACTGATAAGCCTTTTCAGGTATAACCTCAAAGAAGGAGAAGACAGTGCAGTGTGCTTGCGAGAAGGTTGGCAAGAACAAAGAGAGCACGGGGCTTATAATTTTTCTTGTCTACGTGTGCTTTGAAAAGGCAACGAATCGAAATGAGCAAACGCTGTAAAAGCCACGCCAAGATTCCAAATCAAAGTCATAACCTCAGAAAGGTGAAGCAGACGTTGCCCTCCACTATTTCACTCCTCCAAGATGCTAAAGAGCATTTCAACCCAAGATTTTTATATCCAGTCAAGTCATCACAATGGAAGGAGACTGATGAAGGGTTTTATGCGCTTCCATGCTTCGTACTGTACTGCCATTTCTTTGAACAAAACCTTTAAGCTTTCTGAAAGTGACACTTCAGAAACCATGCAGCACTAAAAATATCGTCCTCTCTCCCACATGCCGACAAGCCTTTCGGACACGGCAAAGACATCGCCACCTGACGTGCAGGCATAAAGCCCGGTGGTGCCAAGTTGCAGTTTCAAGTAGAAACTGAGCTCAATTGCTCTGACTCATGTTCCCCGTGGATCTCCACCTATTAGGCTTAGAATTAGCAGAGGGAGCTCCCGCTGCTCTTCCAATGCCACTCGCTCAACTGTTCCCCGCGTCCTCCCGTTCACGCATGGAGGGAAGTAGGACAGGGGGAGGAGCAGTTTGAGACCGCCAGAAGGATGCTCGAATGCAGGAGAACAACTGGAAACACTGCAGAATGGATGTGGTAGGGGTAAGTTGGTCTTGCTGCAAATCTCAGGTTCATGACAGCACAGAGCTGAGTCCAAACAGATGTGCTGCCAAATAGATGTGCAGTCAGGGGTGCTTAAATGTAAAAAGCAGTCCTCCATGTACAAAGTAACTGGTGAGTAACTTCAGATCTATTCGTTTATTTATTTATTTATCCAATCAGGGCAGGAATGTCAAAAAGACTAAACTATAAAATAGGAATAAATGTGCTACTTCAGACATGTTGAAAACTTTTGTGGGGCCGCGTGCAGTCATGTGTCTGCCTGGCCTGGCTCTGTGTGATTGGTGAAACGAGGTCAAGCAGTGGAACCGATTACGTTGGATTGGTGAAAGAGTCACGTGACTGCACCCGAGGCACAAGTCTCTCTGTTTCTATTTAACAAAAAATATTGAGGTAAAAGTATGCTGCATTAAAACTACCCTGACTAATACACTTCATTCAAAAAGTGATTTTAGTAACTTAGCAACATCTTCCCGTACCTGAGGCGCTCTCGCCCACAACCACATTGTGACTAAAAGACTTCTTTCCAACACTGTCCCACTCATTGGCCATCTTCATACTCGAATTAAATTTTAATTCTACCAGACAAATCCATGACCAAAAAGTCTGGACCGAACGCAATCTGAATCTATACTGACATACCAACCAACATTTCCACCATTCAATAATAGCTCATCTGAATCAATTCTATTAATCTGATATCTCTATATGACTAAATCCGACCATCCATCTGCAGTTAGCATGTGCACATATCTTGTGACCATTCTCGTTAATTTTGCATGCCCGTGAGCTACAAAGATTTATATATATATATATATATATATATATTTTTTTTTTTTTATGAACTCACATTAGGTGTGGTTCAGCATTTAGCTTAAGTGGCCGACTTCTAATGTAAAAGTTGCTGGTTCATTGCTCAACCCTTGTGTGACTGTTTTTTAATAAACTAAATTCATGCAAGTAAAATCTCAAAAGCTTTTTTGTAAAAATGACTTTGCATTTCCGAGTAAAAAAAAAAACAAACAAACCGAATTTTAAAGCAACTGTTTTTTTTCTGTGTAAAATGTATTCTCAAATTCTACTCTGTTTAAATCGGGACCAACTATAGTCATTTCAGAGTAAAATATACGCAAGTAAATAAGTAATTTTCTGTGTATTTATCTGACGGCGTTGAGGTCAGTGTGTGAGTACAGTAGAGATTTACAACGCGGTGGCTGGTTTCATTTAACTCCAACAAAAAGAGAGATGTGACACGTTGTCCCGTGGCTGCATGCGGAGGAGGAGGAGGAGACAGACGGGGGGGAAGGAATGGGAGGGGGCGGGCGGGTTGACAATGAAGCGGCAGCTGGCCGAGGGTAGGCTGCGAAACATGGACGAGGGATAGAACGGCACCATCTGCACCGCGACGGGAGGCTGTGGCAACAACACAACACGTCCGTGTTGCCTTTGTCAGCCAAAACTAACTACGAAACAGTCTTTTCAGACGCAGACACGCCGCGTTCGCCAATACTGACACTATATTTACAACACTAGGTCGTTATCCTTCCTTCGGTGATGCCACACTATTACCGACTTAATCCTACGTAAGCTTCTTCGAAAACTCTTACCTTTCCTTTCCCGCAGTCTTCGGACAGGTAATCGGAGGCGTCCCCAGCCGCTATCGGCGTGCGTTCCTCGCTCTTGTGCGCTGGGTAGCTGGTGCTGTTGTTGTGGAGCCGTGGCTTGGTCCTCTTCGTTCTTCCTTTGCGGCATTAGCAAAGTCCCCGCAGCCTGTGCTCGGCTTGTGGTGCTGAAGTGGACAGCTCACCGAGCAGCTGTGGGGAAGAGAGAAGAAGGGGAAATGAACGTTTTATCCAGGTAGTCTGTAGACAGCGTCCCCTATCGAAGGGGAGGTTCAGAGTGCAACGTGAAGCCCTTCATGATAGCGACATCTACTGGAGGAGTAAAGAGGTGCAAGGTGATGGCTTGACTTATTACGGTGGCGCCGAAACGCAAAGCATAAGCACAAAAAATAAAACAAACAAAAAGAAAAACAACTTTAGGAGGACAAAAAAAAAGAAGCACAACGACATGACATTATAGGTAGGTACTGGTAGGGAGATATGTTGAGGTTTTTGTTTAGTTTGTGTTTTTGATGTGCTGCTGTCGAGGTTGTTTTGTTTTTTCAATACGGTTGCGTTTTTCTCTTTTTTGCTTTATTTTGGGGCAGTTTTGTTCATGTCCTGTTTATTTTTTCTTGATCGGTGTAGTTATTTGTTTTTAGGTTTTCTGATGAGTTGCTGGGTTGTTATGTTGTTTTATTATTTGTTTTTGATGCTCCGTTTAATTATTTGGTTTTCGTATGCTGGTGTGTTCAGGTAGTTTTTTTTTTTTTTTAAATTTCTTGATGTTTTGCATTTAAGTTACCTCGTGTCTAGTGGTGAAAAGTAACGTTTCCAAGTGATGACTTTGGAGATAGAATGGTTCTACCCGATGCCATATTTTGCCTTATATTACAATGGTAATTTACACAACTGTAAATTGCATACAACGGTCATATAAGATGATTTTGCACATGGAAATTAAGTTGCATTATCTGTTTACTTCACAACGATGCAGCTTACACAAAGATAAACTGCTGGAATTTGCACTGGAGAAAAAAAAATAGAATGCCCTGCTTCAAAAGCCTTTTTGCGCAAGAACATTTTTGTCATGGGGAATGAGAACGTATTGTTTTACAAAGTCACAGCTTACCATGGAGTCCAAAAATGCAGCAAGAAACACATGATTTGTTGAGGGTGCTCCACTATCTATCCATCCATGCATCCAATTTCTGATCCGGGGGGAGGACCCCATTGCCAGCCAATCGCAGGGCACACAGAGACAACAATCATCAGCACTCACACTCACACCTTGGAACAATTCAATCAGCCTGCCATGCATGGATTTGGAATGTGGGAGGAAACCGGAGTGGTGCTTCACGAAAAACTAAATTAATGAACCTTGTGGTTCATAATGTTAGGGTGGGCTCCGTAAAAAATGACTGCAGTACACTTTCAACTTTTACTACTTAATTGGAGTAACACTCAAAAGTACACTGTGTGTGTGTCTCTCTCTCAAACACAAACACACACACACACACACACAACAATGAACACTGTTTTCTACATACTGCTTTCTGAGAAATAACATCAAAACACTGGAATTTTCACCTGGCTGAGGAACAAGTATAGAATGCAAGTGACATTTTTTAGGCATATGTTCTATTAACAGCCAGTGAATTTTAGAGGAAATAATGCAGAATTAGAAGTCTAACAATGAACTATTATACTTTTTTTTTTCAGTCACATGTTGCCGATATTGTCTTGAGAAGGGTAGTGTATGGAGTGGTCCAAGGTGGTAGAGGGCTCATCCTGAGTGACGGCAAGAGTGGCCTGCTCGGGCAGCAGGCTTGGGTCAGTTAGGATGGATGTATTTGTGCTCAGGAGACGGAGTGAACTCAGGACCACTGCGAATCAAACAACACACAATTTAAAGTGGAGACAGAAATAACAAGAATCCAATGATTTAGATGAGTTGTGTATGGCTGACTGGGTCTTAGAGATGGTAGAGAGCAGTGTTGGTCCAGCCAGGACAATGTGGACTGGCACAGCTGTTCCACACTGGCAGTGGACACCATGACATTATAGGACTCAAAAAGTGGCTCGATGATGATGCTGAACTGAGACCAAGTTGAGGAAATAAAGGCAGGTTAATGGAACACTCTAAATTGTCCTGCGATTGGCTGACGACCAGTTCAGGGTGTACCCCGCCTACTGCCCAAAGACTGCTGAGATAAGCTCCAGCATGTTCCGCGACCCTTGTGGGGATAAGCGGATCAGAAAATGGATGAATGACGTGTTCAGTTTGTCAATGAGTATTCTGTCAGACAAGCTCACTATTTGGTGGACAGGTTACAACAGATTGCTTGCTTCAGAGATTAGAACCTTAAACCTCTTGACTGTGACGATAACGTGCTAACCACTACTTCACCATACGCCGTTTGCCCCTGTGCAGCATTGAGTTAACTCATGAATGTTCAAACTTTATGACATCTGTTTTCTATTTCCACGTTTCATCCCTGCCTCTTGTGTTTGTTCACAGTTAAAGATACAATCCAGAACTTCCAGTTTTGCAGTGTCTGTGCTTGGACGTATTCCCGGAACTTTTGCCTCATGTGGTCAAATCGCTGCCGTGTGATGGGTACACCTGAGGCTGGTAGCTGCTGTTGGCATGCACTGCAAAAAAAACAAAAACAAATAAAACATAAATAAATGTGTGTGTGTGTGTGTGTGTGTGGGGGGGGTATACACAGTAGCCATTGTTCCTACACAACACACACAGTCCAACCAAACTAAATGTCTCACTTGATGGCAGAATTCAGGAGCTGGATCTCATCTCGGAGTCTCTGAGCTTCCTCGTGCAGCGGAGTTTTCTCCTGCTGCATGTTACTGATGTACTCGACGGTCTTCTGTAATATGGTGGCGTTGCTGATCTGAGCCAGCAGGCAGACAAGACGCATGCATGTCAGCCATTACACCGTGCTGATTTTTTTTTCTCACTATTTCATGATTCTGTGTCCTTTTACCCTACCTTCATGCCTGGCTGTGAGCTGAGTGTTGTCACAAGGTTTTTTAAAGTGTCAAATCCCAGTTTGATGTTGAAACGCCTCTTCTGCTCAGCAGAGATGTGGGTCATCCTCCTGCTCTCCGGGTGCTGCAGAATACATCACACAGTCTATATATCTTGCCACATTTCTTCCGAACAGATTCAGCACTGCCCTTTTCAATTGAAAAACAATAGATTTACCTTACTCATTTCTATCATCCCATATCCGAGGAAACCTGAATGTGAAGATTCTGGATTAGAAGATTTCTCAAGCAGGGTTGGGGGCGATGTTTGGCCTGGATAACCTGGAAAATCAATTCGAAAATCCAATAATAATGACTGAGAGTAGGGATGTTACAATCAATTTCTGTTCTTTGAAACATTTCATCTCATGCATCACAAAATCGTGGCATGTAGAAATGACTGTGTACTGCATGTTTTTAACATAAAACTGTCCATAAATTTTCTTTAGTGCTTGCACAACCTTGAGCTGGTTGCTAAGCTAATCGCATGGCACATACAAAGAAACAACTGTTCACACTCACATGCGTGGGCCAATTTTGAGGTTTCAATTAACCAAACATGCAAACATGCTTTTGGAATGAGGGAAGAATGTGGGAGGAAGCTGGAGTGCCTTGAGAAAACCCACACAAGCATCAGGAGAACAACACAGGAAGGCCACAGCTGCAACGTGAGAATTGGGAGGCAGATGTGACATCCACTACTTTACAGTTATCATTCATTCATTTTCCGATCCGCTTTATCCACACAAGGATCGCGGGGGGTGCTGGAGCCTATCCCAGCTGTCTTTGGGCAGTCGGCAGGGGACACCCTGAACCGGTTGCCAGACAATCGCAGGGCACACAGAGACAAACAACCATCCGCGCTCACACTCACACCTAGGGACAATTTTGAACAATTCAATCAGCCTGCCATGCATGTTTTTGGAATGTGGGAGGAAACGGGAGTAGCCGAAGAAAACCCACGCAGGCCCGGGGAGAACATGCAAACTCCACACAGGGAGGCCGGAGCTGGAATTGAACCCGGTACCTCTGCACTGTGAGGTCGACACGCTAATCACTGGACGACCGGGCCACTTACAGTTATCAGTCAGCCCAAAAAAAACAATGCAGTTCAAAAACACGCTTGTTATGATTTGAAAAGACTTTGAAAATATGAATGGCTGTTTGCTCAAAGTCGTGCCTGAAGTCAATAGGACAGATTTTGGTTACCCGTGACTATAACGAAGACAAGTGGTGTTGAAAACAGATGGATACAGGGGCAAAATATTAGAAAACCCTCTCAGTGTGAGAAAATATTCCATAGCAATTAAGTGTACCGTGTTACGCTGCATACCTGTTAAGATGCTCCTGTCTGTGCCATAAAGCTGGACAGGTGACAGATTCTCAGTCTTGGGGACGAGAAGGGTTGTGCTGGTGTGAGCAGTGTCATCAATGAGCAGGGCGGGCACTGTTGAGCCTCTGGAGGTTCGACTTTGATCTTGAGCTGAACTCTGGTTGTGCAACGCTGGGATCACTCCATGCCAAGCGGCTCCATGCAGCACTTGAGATGAAGCTCCTCCAACATGCCCACTGGAGGAAGCCTGTCGCAAAACACATTATTTGTTCGACAAAGTACGCATACTGGACGAGAGGTAAAGTAAGCGAGAGTAAATCGCCAAGAATAGAAGGACCAACACTCATTTAGGGTCAATTTGACACGATGGAATTCAAGTTAGAGTCTGAGAGTTTGGAGTTAAACATTCATTTGTGTTTTTTTCAATGTGGGATGAAGCCAGAGTTCCAGAAATAAACTCCCATACGCATGGGCAGAACAGCCTCTCAGTTCTCCCTTGTGCTTGCTTGTGCTTATTTGGGTTTTCTAAAGGGTAAAAATCACGGAGGAACAAAACTAGAAGTAAAACAGAACATTGTCATGGTGACTGTATCTTAATTTTGGTCATGTCTTTTTACCACAACTTTAGAAAATCGTTAGAGATAAGTGGCACCGAGCACATTGCTGCGAAAAGCGTACTCACCGAAGCACTCGAAGATGGTGACTTCTGACCTTCGACTGTCACATAAGCCGTTTCAAACCCAACCGATGGCTTCCCTGAAAGCACAAACAAGCACAAGTTGGTCATGCGTATGTTACTTTTCCAGATGAATAACAACAGCGACAACAAACTCCCACTCACGGACGGGTACCTGTGGAGAGCAACTTCGCCAGGCAGCTCGTGGGGGCGGTGGACGAAGTATAAGACAGACCCACAGGTGGACCGAATGGCCTTTCTCCTCCTTTCTTTTGCTTGTGTTTCCTTCGCACGTCGGTGGTCGACACTTGTTCAGGAACCGCAAAGCTGTGCAATGTGCCTCCGGGAGGCTGGGCTGCGTGAACCGGGTCAGACATGTAGCCGAGAGAGGGGCATGGAGCTTGGGGGTACGTATCCCCTGGGTGAGGGTATCTATGTCCCTGTTGCGTACTGTCCACTGTGGAGGCAGTGTGAGTGATGACGGTCGGCGTTGTGCTGGCCGTTGCGTGGTAGCTGAATTTGTGACATGGGAATGGGTAAAATAAAGGGACGGCAGCAGAGAACCCCTGCTCAACATTGGCGGGGAATGAAGCAGGGACAACGGGATCAGTGTATGATTGCAGTCCAAATGCCGCGGTGGTCGAGTGGTATCCACTACAATGCTGGTTTAGTCCGCTACCTTCTGTTTGAGATTTAGATGATGAGGCCTGAGGCAAATTATCAGATGACAAAGCAGCCTGCGGGAAAAAAAAACAGCTTATGATTTGATTTGCCAGACTGTAATGCGGTGAATATAACTACGTGTGCAAGTACCTGTGAGATGTGGGTGTCAATGAATAGATGAGGAGCTGCGTGCAAAGTTGCAACAGGGGCAAGTGCAATGTTGGATGAACTTTCATCATAGCCCGAGTCTGCAAAACTTGACTGGTCACATGGCTGGACCCCCGCGTTCATGAAGATATCTATGAAAAGGCCAAAGTAAAACTCACAAGGGCACGGTAAAGAGAGAAACATATTTTTTAAATTTCTTTTCCATGATGATGTGCGCAAAGCAGTCATTTTGGCCTCACTACTGTGGGTGACAGAAGAAAGTTGTTTTCACTCATCACCTTTTGTAATATTGTTGTTGCAAATTAACTTGTGTTCACTTTTTATTGGA